TTGTTCTCAGAACTGGTGGAATCCACCTAGCTGGAATTATTCAGGACTGGACTTGACAGGGCCCTGGATAACTCAATCTGTGGTCCTGCCTTTAGTAAGAGGCTGGATCAGATGATCTCCAGAAGTTCCTTTCAACCTAGATTGTTCAGTGACTCAGTCTGATTAGGCCACACTACACAGCACCATTGAGAAGCCGAGATGCTGCTTCAAGCCAGCTGTAACATATACAGGGGCAGTACAACGTTCTTAACAGATACTACTACAGCTAGGAGTTAACAATATGTTGTTAAAAGGACAAATTAATCAGCTTTTTACAGCTTCCAACTCCAGAGCTGGGTCATTTGGTGTTGCTTCAAACATGCTAATGTACCTTTGACTTAGAAGACACACTTCTGTTCTTTGCATGTCGTTCAGCCATAGTGAAGAAAAGCAAAGAAAAGTCATTCTTTATTCAGGCGACAGAGAAAGTGACCTCAGGGCCACAGATGACTTGCAAGCAGAAACTTGACACTCTTATATTAATACTTACATTCTCTAAGCCAAGGAGGACCAAGAGCGGGATTGTTGTCATTCCTCCTTGGATCCACTCTTCTAGAGAAACAGTGCCATCATGATCATAGTCAATTTCTTCCATCATTTCATGAAGAATCTACACAGTTTAATGAAAAATCTCATAAATTCCATATTCTAATACAGCAACTTCTTGTTAGAACTTGTGCAGATCTCCAATTCCCTCATCCACACGCAAAAAGTAAGGAAAATATTATTTATATGGCATCTGTAGTAAAACGACTACTGACAGTTGAGAAAATGAAGTATCATATTCTTATTAAAATTTTGTTAGCACCTCAACCGAGTTGTATTCCCTTGTGTACTTACTATGTGCAATACAAATAAGAGGTAGTTACTTTTCAGAAATTTTCAGAGATAAATCAGTTGTGTTATAAATGTTAATTACTACATGCACTGAAGAAAAGCCTCAAACTGTAGGAAGAATGTTTCACAGATCAGATTTAATCAGAAAAAGACTCATAAAAGTTCCAATTGACAGTGTCATTGTGAAACACAGACTATTATTATTTCTATCTTAAAAATACATAGAATCACATGCTGACATGACATATTACAAAATGATTAAACGCCATCTCTAGTAACATTAAAAACTTGTTATAAAATGGATACTTACTGGACTCAGTTCAGTAACATCCCATTCAAGGTATTCTGCAACGTGCATCATTTGAGCAATGATATTTTCCAGCTCCTACAGACGAACGAAAAAGAATGATAATACTTAATGAAATATTATAAAGACAAGTTCTACTGCAAGTAACTTTTAATTCAAACACAAAGCATTCAGTGACACTGTTTCACCAATGTTCCTAATGAAATATCCTTTATACTGAAAGCTATCCACTTCACTAGCAAAACATCTGGCATGGACTGCAAAGCATGCAGGGAGGTGAAACATAGCCCCACAACCAAAGGACAACCTCTGGGTGGAAAGAAGTAATAGATTCTTCCTTCCTAGTTGACCATTCGACCATTGGTTTCATGATCTGAAGTCTACCCCATGATATAACAATGTTCTTTGAATTCTAGCACTTTGACAAACTATTTTTGTTAATTCTTGTATAATTCACAACTTTCTAACAAAAATAAGGCATAAAGTGGACGGTATAAACTAATACAGAGATATTTTCTTACCACTACAGTGTTGTAATTTCCTTCGATCACCTATCACTAGTGCTCTTCCATATTCATATATAGAGTTTGGTTTGTGAACATGCCTAAATGCTTATCTAGAACCACTCTGAATTCTCATGCACTAGTTACCTAATTCATATTTTGTATTGCCTAGAACTATGATACAGTATTTACTTTATACTTCTATATAACTAAGCTTCCCTATTCCCTTGTCACTTCAGTGAATCATGTCCTCTTCTTTACCAATACACTCTATGCTGTCTTACTTCAGGGAGATAAAAAAGAAAGGGAAAAAAAAAAAAGCTGCCAAGAAAATACTGCTTAACTAAGAGAAAAAAAATAGTTATATTTTTAAATGATTGCTAAATCTCTCATTTGTCTTTAACCATTTGGTTGGGCTACTCCTCAAAACTGTCTTCAATGTTTTTCCTCCATTCTTAATAACAATATGGAAGTTGTGACATCTCTCCACATACATCCACTGTGTGACTCTCACACTTTCCCCTTGTAATGAAATCTTTACAAATGGTGCTTTCATACGCACGACCCAGCAGCATACTAGAATTTTGGGAATCATATTAATGTGTCCCCTACATTAATATGATTAAAAATCAGAAGACTATAGAATAGGACTCCACAATAGCAGTGTTAGCATTTCAAGATCTATACAGTTGTAGAAGTAGGAGCTTAATGGAAAAGAAAACTGAAGAGTTACTTTCAAAATGGGTGACACTTTATTGACTATATTTTATACTGTTTCTATTAATTCAGGATAAATATAAACTTAATTTGGATTAATGTAGTTTTGCATAGGTATGTCATTATGACATACTCTTACAATGCATTAAAATACATAAAGAACATTACCGAACTATCCAGGTATCCATTTCCATCTGTATCATATAAGCGAAACATAACTAAAAAGGAAACAAAAAGAGAAGGAAACTCAGTTAGAAAAGATAGTAACAACATTATTTCACTAAAAAACCCAAACAAACCAGAACTGTGTTTCAAAGAAAGGACAAACATTAACGTTTTCCTTCAATGATCACTCTAACTGTAGACCCACCAAACACTTCATTCTACGCAAGTGGTTCACTCAGCAACTACTCTGCCACAGTGTCTCCAATCAGACATATTAGCAGGACAGTGCCCCAGCACCTTTTCCACATAATCACTCCAACACCTAATTCGGTCTGTGAACTTAATTCTAGTTCCTCCTAGAGATGATCTGTATTCATGGTGAGTACCACCAAAAGGTCCTTCTCTGTCATCTCACCAAACATGGGATAAAACACAATTGGCGAGGCAAGTGTTGATAAACCTACTTAAGTTACAATTCTATCCTACTCTCTTGGTTGCAGCTATCACTATTCAATAGAAATATTACTTTAGAAATGTTTTCTGACCAACTAAATGAAACAGAGCATTATTATTTGAAGTATCTAATCAGCCAAATTCAAAACCAAACATTCGTCACAGATTGCCAGCATGCCTCCTTCCAGGACCAGACTTACTTCAACAATTTGAAAACGTATTCCCAACACTTCAGGGAGCTACCCAGGCAACAATAGCTGCATTTTGACAATATCCAGAAAGAATATATACTTTCAAGTTTGTGTCATTACTTGATTCCAGTGACAAGAGCAGGTATGTCCACCATTACCAAGATATTTCAAAGCAGCTTACTCAGCTGATCATATACTGCATCAGATTGCAGAGCAGAAACAAGTCTGAAGCTTTGGTCTGAATACTGTCAAAATGCTGAAGATGAAAACCAGAAGCCTATGAATACCTCACTCTTTGTTCCTACTTTCTGGGACAGTTTGTCACAGCTCTGAAATCTAAACACCATCCCATTCAAAAGTGCTCTTTTTTTTCCACCTAGATCTATTTTCTAAGGAGTAAGAAGAAAGCCCATGTACAGGTGGTTCCAGGCCTGTAATGCCTTGACTGATAGCAAAACCCAAGCAACCTGCTTACAAACTGTCTTATCAGATGTCTTTTGGAAACGTAACATATGACCTATTCAACAGTGAACAATCCCGTCACATTGGATCCACAGCAAATGCTGTTACAGTCCAATAAATTATGTAATTAAAGGCTACTGAAGTTTTCAGGAAACAATATAATGAGAAGTGAGAGGAAATTCTTCGCAATTGGAAAGTAAAGTTCAGAAATAATTTGATTATTTTTGACTTACAGCAAAATATATTTAACTGTTATATGGATTGATTTGCTTCCCTTACATATCCCCCATCTTATTCCCAAGTTGTTCACCTAACTGTTGGAAAAAAGCTAAGCACTATACCTCTTCAGCAATTTTTGTGACATCACACTACTCTGAGCTGTAATATAAGATTGAAGATATTTACTGTATTACATTGTTTCAAGCTACAGAGGTCCATTAATCATTACTTATACGCTAAGAAAACGTATAAAAATATCCTTCTTTGCCTGTGAATTACATAGCAGAAAAGTTTCAGAGTAAAGCAACAGTTACTGCTAAAAGCCACCACAGATTGGTACCATCTCTGCTAGTATGCCTTCTACCAAAGCTGCTTGGAGCATGACAGCTAATATTATCTGGCAAAGGTACCATTAAACATTGACAGTTTCCATAGGGATGAATTACTGAATCACTGAGTGATGAAGTTCAAATCACTTGGTTCTCCTTCCTCCTCCTCTATGATTGTAATGCACTGGTGAAAAGAATGTTCTACAGTTATCATGTAAGCAAGTTTTAGCAACATCTTGATCTTTATCCACTCCAGAGAAATAGTGCTTACAACTTTTTTTTTCCTTTAACATAAATCAATAGTTCTAATCAGACGTTTAAAAACAGACATTAACGTAATTATATTTTTTTCACCTTTGTAGCAAACAGTCTCTCCCATTACATATGTATTGGTAGTGAAAAGGCTCAATCTGTGTTCTTGGCTAGACTCTGAAATACTATGCTACTGGTGTGACACGCAATCTCTTTTCTCTTCATACCCTGCTAAATATTCATATTCTTGCTGATTTACACACTCTAGGAGACAAAACAACAAAAAATTCTAAAAGCAACTGAACAAAAATTCTTATCCAAACTACAGAATCCAAATCAACCTCTTACACTTCTTTTCCCATCCCCTTACCTCCTAGCACTGATTGACCACTTGATTTCTATTGTTAGACTGCATACCATTTGTAAATACTTAAAAATGTATTAAAATCAAATAACCAAGATGAGATCAGCTGCTGCACTGCTCTACTTTCATCTGCAACCTCTGGACTTTTAATCTTGCATGTGACAAAAGACGGCATCCCAGAAGTTCCAAAAGTTAAAAATTACCTTCTTTTGAGAAGAAATTGGGGATTTCATTCTCAAAACCACATGCACAAACAAGTGCTGAATGCACTCTCTATTTTCACCAGTGCTTGTACTTTGGAAACTGTAAGGCTTGTCACTCTCCACAGAAGCCTGAGTGCCCAAGAATTGCATAGCATAGCAAAAAGACAGACTATAACTAATCATGCTACTGCAAAAATACAAAAGAACAGTGTGACGTTCTTGAAGCTTCTGTTGGTACGGAAAGAACAGAAACAGAATAACCTGAAGAGAGTCTTGATAAGAGAAACTGGCAAAAAAACCCACAGCTCCTAATTCTTAGAGCTTCTGTTTATAATAGTGGAGAGAAGTTTGAGCACTTGTGCTGTGGTTTAGGCCGATCTGGCAACTAAACTCCACACAGCCGCTCTCTCATTCCTTCCGCGGTGAAGTGGAGAGGAGAAAAAAAATAAATAATAAAAGGACTGAGGGTCGAGACAAGAACAGAGAAAGAGCACCCACCAACCATGGTCCCGGGCAAAACAGACTCGGCTTTCTCAAGGCAAAGCAATTCATTAACGATTACTTAAAAGGACAAAGGGAAACAAAACCAGTTACTTGAGAGGATAAAGAGAAAACAAGGCCAGATCTGAAAAACAACACCTTCCCTCCGTCCCTTCCTTTTCTTCCCGGCTCTACCTCCCCCCCAGCAGCACAGGGGGGACAGGGAATGGGGGAGTGCAGGTCAGTTCATCCCATGTTGTAACTGCCACTCCTTTTCTTAAAGGAGGAGGAGTCCTTACACCCTTTTCCCTTGCTCCAGTGGATCCTCTACTCACAAGGAAAAATCCACAGACTTCTCCAGC